CGTTCAGCAGTTTATAAATTAAAAAAAAATTTTAACAAAGACAAACGGATAAATTTTTTAAGATTGAACTAATAAAATCAACATCACTAATAAATTATCATCGTCTCAGGTTATATATTTCTTTTCGGACTACTCCAATGCTATCGGCCGCAGATGGCCTTTACAGCTTCACTGGTCGATAGGGGGCGATTTCGATCACCGTTCGAATTGGACGGGGGATCGATCGGAGAGGGTCTCTGGTTATACTTAGTTTTTCAAATTATATTTATTCCACGGTTAACGGTGGTTGTCGATACTGTGCGATGGATAGCGTTATAATACTACCAGGATGTCATCGCCTTAATAATCTTATGAAAAAAATATATTCTACTATGAATATTTTCATAAACACAATATGTACATATACACACACAATAGTGCATATCCATATTAATATTATAAATGCGAAAATATGTCGGTTTGTCTTTTCGTTACCTTTAAAGAAGTGCAACAAGGTTTTTGAAGCAATCTCAATAATATAATTTGAGGTGCAGATACATTATACCATGAGGATGGTCTTATAGGATACATATAGATAGGCTATAGTATCTCAAAAACGTAGATGAAGTCACGGATAATGACTTGTTAAGATATAAATATAAACGACACTTTATTATGTCTTCTGCGTGAGTATGTCACACCTATATCTGCTTAATCAGCTTATTTTGTAATCTGTTACAGACTCAAATCAAATCATTTATTTACAGAATACAGTGCTTATAGGTATATACACTACTAGCTTTTGCTCGCGGCTTCGCTCGCGTTAATTTATCCCTTTAGGGGTGGAATTTATCAAAATCCTTTCTTAGGGGATGACTACGTTTTAACATCTACCTGCATGCCAAATTTCAGCCCAATCCGTCCAGTGGTTTGGGCTGTACGTTGATAGATCACTATGTCAGTCACCTTTGAGTTATATATATTTAGATTAAATATATTGTATGTTTCCAGTGTATTCAGCCTGTATACAGGCGTGTAATTTTTTATATTTATCATTCTAATTAATCAATAATTAAATTAAAACAAATGTGTCATTGGAATTACTGGCACATATAATTATTATAGGTTATGCATTGAATAAATTCTTTGACACACGTAAAAACAATGTGCCAATAGACATTTCGTTAAATTTACTTAAAAAGTTCTCTCGTTCAACAATATTATATTGTTAGACAAACAATAAAGAAGATGACAGTAAAATTACAGGGTACGGTTGACCTTTTCATTATAAGATTAAGTTTATATTATCAGAGTCCGCAGCAGTGACTCGAAGGTGTATAATCCAATTTTGTTGACATAAAACAGTGTAGTCGATCTAATTTTATTTAATTACACTTAGTAAAGGTCATTTGAACAATCTTTTAGAAGTTAGAATACAAATAAATGTAGCAGACGCGCCACTTTTAGTGTTTTTATGTAAGCAATGGAAGACAAGATGGTGGCAATAAGGCGGGAAAGTTATATTCGCCTTATGACATAATTAGACAAATTATAGCAATCCATACAACTGTCCCCTCGCCCCCTCCGATCGATCCCCCGTCCAATTCGAACGGTGATCGAAATTACGACAACCTGAGCCGAGGTTCGAACCCCTAGCGGTGCACTCAGACTAAAGTCGTATCCGTCAGGTGGGAGTTGGCCTTCAGCCGCTCCATAATTCCTTCCGCGGGTTGAGAGTGCCATCTGCACTCGCACCCTATCGTCCAGTGAAGCTGTAAAGGTCAGCTGCGACTAACAGTATTGGAGTAGTCTGATAAAAAAAATCATGGGCAACAGTAGAATCCTATGGATAACGAGATAGAATAGAATACAAAATAATTTATTTAAGTAAACTCACATTAGGCATTTACTTATTTTTTTTATCGACTCCTCATTCGGAAAACTATCTCATCACAAGGAGAACGTGCAATAATTTTCGGAGTTGCTGATTTAAATAAATTAGTTTATAAATATAAATATATATTATAAATCTTTAATATTTTATCTTTGTCTTCGTGCCAAATGAGTCCTAAGGATTAAAAAGATAAAATAAAAGATATTAAAGACAAAATTTTAAAAGTTCCAAATGTATTTATTAAATACTTCCCACGTAACCACCGCACAGACAGTCGCCATTTCTATTTTTCTATTATTTTTATTCACGTTCCCTCAAGTGGGTTGAAGCTGTAAACCATTATTTGTCATACATTCCTGGAAACCAACGTGAGTTTTTGGTGAATCACGCAAGCAGGTACTGTAATACTCTTACTCACTAAAAACTCCAAGATGAGGCGCCATCTTGTCCCAAACTAATCAAAGCTTGTGTTATGATTACTAGACAACTGATGGAAATAAATACATTTTTACTGTACGTATTTCTATAAAGCAAATAATCATACCCATAGGCGTAGTTAGCTATAGGCTCAGGGTGGGGCAGCAGCCTAAAATATTATGTAACTAGTAAACTATAGCCGTCGTTTTACCCGCTTTTTTTCTTCATACAAAACTGTTACACCCTATAGCACCCTGTATCTTATGTTATTTTATGTGTCGACTGTCGAATATGAACTTTCTTAGAGATATTAAGTATCATTGTTAGTACTTAGATACTTTCCTCCCGGGTACACTTAGATTGTGCAATGAACTACCTACCGAGGTTTTCTCACGAGACTACAGCCGGGGTTTTCAAGAACGGTGTATTCAGGTTTCTTAAGGGTCGGCAACGCGCATATGACATCACTGGTGTTTCAGGCTACAGTAACCATTTACCATTAGATGGGCCGAATGCTTGTTTGCCACTGTGGTAGATTAAAAAAATAGATTTGGTTAGGTACCTTACAGGTGAGAGCTAGGACGTTTTGACGTGTTCCAGCCAAATGTTTTCACCGTGCGAGGAATCAAACATGCGCCCATCAAAATTAAAGAGTGTGTTTGCAAAACTGTCAGGCCACTGAGGGCATCAATACATTATTATTATCTCTTTCGTGAGTGAGTTGTCAAAGAAGTTGTTTTCGACGAAATTGTATCGCGTCTGCAACGCCTACTCCATCCATAAAGGGAATTATGTGACGTCAATTACTATAATTGGTCTTTGATGTGACGTCTGTTGTCATTACATTCGTAACAGAGCGTTTCCCGCGGTTTTGTCTCTGATTCTTCAGGAATTTTGGGAAATCATTTCTTAGGTAATGGTACATCACCTAAGAAATTATTTCCCAAATTCGACTTTACAGGCAGACGATTTTACAGGAAGTCCGAGTACTGCCTGTAAATGTAAAAAAATGTAAAGTTACAACTACATTATTTAAAAGAGCAACAAGCTTTCCTAATGAGCGGTATTTAAAAAAAAATTGTGATGACTATTCAAAAGTGCTTCAGTGTAAGTTTATTTGAATTAATAATTCTCTATTCTATTCTATTATGTTCGGGGATTTATCCATTGATTAAAAAAATATAACTGCTAAATATTGTTTGTAAGATTTCATTCAACTTTTATTTTATTTGATACTTACTTCTATCCGTGATATTGTAAGGAAAAAGGAAGGTACTAAGGTCTCTAACAATTAATTGAGTTATAAAGTCTAAGAGGTAGATAATAAAGTAACAAATTCAATTTTACATATATAATATTAGCGATAAAGATATATAAATACAAAACAAGTACATTTTACTAGCAATTTTAATCCGAAGTGGTTTATAAAATGAATCCTTCCAAATATATTTTTATGCAAGTTGGTGTTTGTCATTATTGCTATATTTATTTAATAGGCGTTTCTTTAAACATATACAATATTGTATATCTTATTAATATTAATATTATAAATTACTCTTTTACGCAAAAACTATTGAACGGATTTCGATGGAACGTTACAATCATATAGTTTATATATCAGAATAACATATAGGCTATAAATTTCACGCCGGATGAAACCTCAGGCTTAGTTAGTACAGAATCAAAATGTTTGTTTTCACCAGTTTGTTTACGTTATATACCTACATACCATAAGTATAGAGAAATCTGCTGTTGGTAGTAGATTGAATAATCCTGTATTTGTTAGTTAAAATAATATATAATATTAAAGATAGGAGCACACTCAAATTTAGCTATTTCACTTAGTAATCTGCCCCTCGGGTATTTTACATCAATAGCTACCTTTACACATCACGTTCTTTACCCTACGATCCCCTTACAACCCCCTGAATCAGGTTCGAACCTCTGGCAGCCGCCATTAGACTAAAGTCGTATTCGTCAACCGCTCCATAAGTCCTTCCGCGGGTTTGAAGTGCTTCTATTTTCTCTCCAATGATACAGCTCAGAATGACAAATTTAAAATTAGTGTTCTGTGTTCTTTTTTAAAAGTTATATAATACAACTAGTTTTCGCCCGCGGCTTCGCTCGCGTTAAGAAGTATTATTATTAGGTATAGTTTTTGCGACTTTACAGTAGTTTCATACAATCTTTCATCCCCTATTTTATCCCTTTAGGGGTGGAATTTATCATAATCCTTTCTTAGGGGATGCCTACGTCATAGTAGCTTTATGTATACAAAGTCTCAGCCCGATCGGTTTAAAATTGACAAAGTTTCATACAAACTTTCATCCCCTTTTTTTATCCTCTTGGGGGTAGAATGAATCAAAATCCTTTCTTAGCGGATGCCTACGTCATAACATCTACCTTCATGCCAAATTTCAGCCCGATCCGTCCAGTGGTTTGGGCTGTGCGTTGATAGATCACTATGTCAGTCAGTCACCTTTGAGTTATATATATTTAGATACATATAGCAAAATGAAGTTGCATACATTTATAAATAACAACACCTAACGTCTTAGACAGACAGCTAATGGGAAATCTATATATATAAATAAAATTGGAGTGTTTGTTTGTAATATTGACAGAAGCGTTTCTTTTATTTTAGAAAAATAAAGTTAAATTCCACGCGGACGAAGTCGCGTGTACAGCCAGTAATAAATATGTTTGTAGGTTAGTCGCCGCAAGCGAGTTTACATGCTGATAGGAACTCAAAATTATTTTCATTTCCGTTACAGCCGCCGTAAGAGAACTCGATGCAACCTTGACCTTCAACATAGCCGTATCTGAAAAAGAACAAAACATACAATCACGACTGTTATGACAGTTGGGGTGGTCAGAGGCTTTGTCAACTAACAAGGGGAAGGGGATTGTTAGTAATGGGAAATAGTAACTATAACCATGTACCATATTAGGTCGCCTCCACGCGGTTCCCCCTGGAAACTATCGTGATAAATTCTTGGTGGATTTGTCACGATGGGCTAACTGACCTGACCTCATGATCATCTTATCATCCTCCACTGGTGCCCCGCCAGCGTAAACCGTTAGCGCAGGTGGGTGCACCATTCCATTATCATATACACAAACAAAAAATGTCGATATTGTTGAAAAAGCTAAACTCGAAGCATCGTAGTTTTATGAAATAGCAACACATGAGTGTATCTATCCACGACTAGAAAGAAACTCAACTGTTTTATTTTAAAATTGTAATTTTTTTATATGTTCAAATTCAAATTCAAAAATCATTTATCCATGTAGGACATTTTAGCCCCTTATGAACGTCAAGTTTCACATTATATTTTTTTTCCCTACCATCCAGTTCGGTATATAGATCCAATTGAGAAGAACTGGCAAGAAACTCAATTGAATAACTTTTTCTTTAAAAGCCAGTTTTTTTACAACTGTCTTTTGGCCGCGGCTTCGCTCGCGTTAATTTATCCCTTTATGTCTACGTCATAGTAGCTTTATGCATGCAAAATCTCAGCCCGATCGGTTTAAAATTGATCCCCACTCTCAATTTTATCCCCTTGGGAGTAGAATTAATCAAAATCCTTTCTTAGCGGATGCCTACGTCATAACATCTACCTGCATGCCAAATTTCAGCCCGATCCGTCCAGTGGTTTGGACTGTGCGTTGATAGATCACTATGTCAGTCATTTGAATTATACTTTGAATTATATTAGGTGTACAACTTTGCTTCCGCCGTTTTTTTTTCCGAAATTCGAGGCTTTATTGTAAAAAACTGGTTATATATTTATAATTCAAAGTATTGTCCATCGCTGGCCACTACTTTCTCCCATCTTTCAGGCAGCGTACGAATCCCGAGTTGAAAAAAACTGGTCATCTTTTGAAGCGATCCACGAATCGATAGAATTTTATACTTTTTCATAAGAATGGAAGTGCTGGTCAGCCAGGCCGGGTGCCATTGATCAAAGCAAGTGATAGTCTGAGGGAGCAAGGTCTGGAGAATACGGCGGGTGGGGTAGGATTTCCGATTTCAACGTTTCTAAGTATGTCTTGACCACTTCGCAACATCGAGTCGAGTATTGTCAGGTTGTAAAATCACTTTATCATGTCTCTGGTTGTATTGCGGCCGTTTGTCTTTTAATGCCAGGCTAAAACGCATTAATTGCGTTCGATAACTATCGCCTGTGATCGTTTTAGTCGGTTATAACAACTCATAATGCACTACGCCGAGCTGATCCCATCAAATACTGAGCATAGCCTTGGAACCGTAAATATTCGGTTTGGCCGTCGACCTGGAAGCATGGCCGGGATATCCTCATGGTTTTCTGTGCTTAGGATTATCGTAATGAACCCATTTTTCGTCCCCAGTTACAATGCGATGCAGAAATCCCTTCCGTCTTTGCTTTGCAAGCAGCTGTTCACAAGCAAACAAACGCCGTTCAACATCTCTCGGCTTCGATTCGTACGGCACCCAATTTCTTTGTTTTTGAATCATTCCCATGACTTTCAGGCGTTTTAAAATGGCTTGTTGATCACTCCCAATGATCCTGCCAATTCTTGTTGCGTTTGACACGAGTCTTGATCAAGTAATGCCTCTAATTTTGCATCTTCGAAAACCTTCTCTCTTCCACCGCCATGCTGGTCTTCGACGTCAAAATCATTGTTCTTGAAGCGTTGAAACCACTCTCGGCACGTTCTTTCACTAATAGCTGCCTCATTATAGGCATTTGAGAGCATTCGATAAGCCTCAGCCGCAGATTTCTTCATATTAAAGCAGAAAATTAAAACCTCCCGCAAATGACGAGAATTTGGCTGGTAAGCTGACATGTTTAGTAGAGAATAACTTTGTGATGCAGACACAAATCGACTAATATTTCGATGGCGTTATGTTTACAAATACCTAAGCTTATTGTATGACATCTACGATCTATTTATTTCGACTACCACTTACCGCTACAGCCATCTATTTCAAAACGGCGGAAGCAAAGTTGTACACCTAATATATATTTAGATGTATAGGAATTTATATAGGTGTCTATGTCTAACATTAAATGAAAATCCTGTGCATGAACAACTATTGCTATGCTCGCTCGTCATTCAAATAATCGTTTAGTGAGTAGGCTTTGCTCAGTAAATATGTAAACTGAATAACTTATCGTCCAAGCAGTTTATATGTCTATTTATATTTATATGTCTATGTATATTTACAACACCGAAAATTATCAATAATATCTTAAAGTCGGCAATACGTACGTAACACTCCTGGTGTTTCAGGCGTCCATAGGCTACGGTAACCCTCTACCATTACATGGGCCGTATGCTTGTTTGCCACTATAATGGTATAAAAAAAATGCCTGTCTAAACAACTAAAGCTATACAAGGTCGTCTGTTAATAATTATTTACAGATACAGGACGTAATTACAGAGTAATATAATCGTTTACTTTATTCAATAAGTATTTCTTAATAATAAAATAAGATAGAAAAAAAAATTTCTTATGGTATTGTATTGTAGAATTTAATACTCATTCCTGTAAAAGATCTGTTAATATTATGTAAATGAAATTTGGTTGCAAGTTTATAAAAAAGAATCAATATGTACACTCTACTTTCGATGGAGTTTGTTAAAAAATATAGATTGTTTTACCTCACGAAACTTCCAGTACACGAACCCCTATCTAATGGCAGCGAGCATATGTCTTCTGCAAAAAAAGGTAGATAGATAGATATCTTTGGACAATTCACGCAACGCCATCTAGACCCAAGCTAAGTAGATCATGATACATTTCATTTTTGTAAATACATACATAATATACTTAGAAAATAACTTAGATACAAACAAACATACTTATGAATACAAATTATTTGTACCGTGCGAGGAATCGAACCGCGACCATCGGAAGTAAGGCTGTGTGTTAAACCGCTGCACCACCGAGGCCATCAAGTAATAAACGATAATAACTTACGATTACCATCTCCATTACAACTGTTGTAGATGAAGAACAGAATGAAAATTATTGTAATATATTTATACATTTTTTATACGTATATAATGTATGGATTTGTACTAATACGGGTTTAGTAAAAATATTACTGCGAGTTGTAATTTATATATTACATTTTGTTTACACAATTTTTGTGTTCAATTAAAGAGAATATCTCATTTTGTATCTCAACCAGAATGATGTATAGCAGGTACGACGGTCGCTTCTTCGATTCCTCGCATGGTATAAACATTTGTATTCATGAGTTACTGTATTTATTATAAACATGTTCCACTATTATTTGAAAAAAATACGAGCTGAGTTTCTTGTCAGTTCTTCTCATCTCGATATCATTCCGAACTGACGGTAGATTTGACATATCATAAGAGTCTGTAATAGGAGGATATGTAGGACCACACTCCTGTGTAGTGTGTGTTTATTATTATTATTAAATCTATCTTAATGTTAATAATATTATGAACGCGAAAGTTTCTACGTATGGATGACTACTGAACCGATTTTGATGAAACTTCAAAAGTAATATAGTTTATACATCAGAATAGCACATGTTATAATGAAATTTAACGCAGGTGAGCGAGCACAGTTAGTTAATATTAATTAATTCATTTATTGACTACAAAATTTTAAACTGATGTGTCGGTAGCTTAAGAATACCAAAATATAGGAATACATGAATAAAGATATCTTAATTTAATTTGTATATTTATATATTTTACAGTCTTTACAAGTTAGACAATTATTATTATTCCCCTTAATACTTATTTATGACTAAGAATGCACTTGAACTAATAAAAATAAAATACTCTACCGTGTCTAATGAGTATAAAATAATACGAAATACCTATGTATATTTATTTTAAAATAAGTAAAGACGATATAAATACGATAATAAAAATACATTACATATTTTCTTGTAATTATTTTTATATATTTATTATAATAATGTTTATTTTTTTATAAATTGATGCCAGGAGTAGATTTTATTCAAAGTTGGGCCTTACCTTTTTTTTATTTAATTTTATCATGTGGAAAAATCTTCAAAAGAATCACCTTCCGCTGGAGGGATATCGAAGGTCGTGTGTGGAATCATTGCCCATTATAAAACCACACGATGTACCTTATTTTTGGTCGTTTTTTGTCGTGGGGAAAATTTTATAAAAGTCTCTCTCTCCGCCGGGAAGTGTGGGCTTCTATGTTAAAACACGGTGTAGTTACGAGCCCAATTGCAGGAGTTACGAGTCGTCAGTCTCACCTTTTTTTATTTTTTATAATTTGGAAAATCTTCAAAAGACACTCCCCATGCCAGAGGGGTGACTATTTTTTTTTTTTTATTGGGTTGTTTGGGCTATTGTCAGATGTGTAGCACCTGTAGCACTGCGACCTACATAGATCTATTGTGCTCGCCCTTTTCAGAGTTCGCTACCTAGACCCGTCAGGGACAAGAATTGAAGGATATTCTTAGGAGCGATCGTTTTTATCTCCTCGGGAAAGAGTGTAAACTTTCCAAAGGAGATATTTCGTTTATGCATGAGTGGGCTACAACCACATAGGATGTGAAGCGGCGTTTCCTCTTCAGTTTGGCAGAATCTGCAGATACTTGTCGTGCATAGGCCTAGCTTAGCCATATGCTTGTTCAATTTGCAGTGTCCTGTGAGGGCCCTAGTCATCATGCATATGTTGCTTTTACTCAATAGCAGTAATCTATTGGAGTATTTGGTCGAGAAGCCTGATATGAGGGGTGACTATGGTATGTGTGGGATTCTTACACATTAAAAAACATCATGTTGTACCTACGAGCGCTATCGCCGGAGTTGCAAGATCGTGTCAGCATTCTACCGCGGCTCCGACGGTGATAACACGCCTTGTAGATGGTATAGGGCAGGCCCCATCTAATTTTTAGGGCGTCCTATTTCGCCCTACTCAATTGCAGATCATATGGGCGCACATGTCTCCGCGCCCATTTGAATGGGGCGCTGCCTCCTTCAAGGCAAGCACCTTGGACCATATAGATTGGGGGATAGAGATGCGGCGGAGTTCGTATGCCCATGCCTCTGTGCCGAACTTTTCTTCTTGCTTTTTCTTGCCGAGTTTCGATTAAGGGGTGAGGGGTACTGAAATTACAGTACACAGTGTAACACACGTTATGACGTACGGAGGCGAAACGTGGGCACTGACGATACGACTGGTCCACCAACTCAAAGTCACTCAATGAGCTCCGAGACGAAGTAATTCGCCAGAGAACTAAGGACACAGACGTAGCTGTTCATATTTGAAAGTTGAAGTGGAGTCGGCTGGTCATATCTGTCGCAGAACTGATGCTCGTTGAAGTAGACGTATGTAGGACGCCTCGCAGCTAGGTGGGTGGTACATACGTAAGGTTGCGGGTAATAACTGGAAGAGATCGGCTGAAGATCAAGTCCAATGGCGTGCCTTGGGAGAGGCCTTTGTCCAGAAGTGGACTGCAGTGGGCTGATAATGATGATGATGTCAACAACACATACCTGTTTGGCAAAACATGCGTCATCATGTAAACAACGGGTGTTACTTGATGATGTGGGTCCATAGTGCTATAAATAGGTAGGGATAATAGATAAGTAGGGAAAAAAAATAAAATTAGAATGTAAAAATTTTACGTTCATAAGCGGCTAAAAGTTCCTACATGAATAAATGATTTTTGAATTTGAATTTGAATAGGCGACCTTGTCAACTTTTTAATAACTCTTTTTTCCACGCACAACTACATTGTGGAATCAACTTCCCGCAATATTGAAACCTTCAAGAAAAGAGCTTATTCCCTCTTAAAAGGCCGACAACGTACTTGCAAGTACAAACAATTATATTCACGCATACAATTGTTTGTACCGAGCGAGGAATCGAACCTGCAACTACCGGAAATAACCTATATGTGTTGAACCGCTAGACTAGGGAGGCCGTCAACATTATCATTTGGTAAAAATCTGCAAACATATTCAATGCATCACATATTCCATAACAATTGAATTAAAATTGATAGACTTTTTTTGAAGTCGGTAAAAAATCAATAACAAAAAGAAACATCAAAAGCTTTTCAGAATTGGTTAATATATAAAATTGTATTGAAAAACATAAAGTGAATATTTTCCAGTTGATCAAATAATGTAAATGAAAAATGAGAACTTATGTTATTGTTACGTACTTGTTTAACGATTCATTATTAACATTTATTGTTTATAATCACTAGCTCTACCCGCGATTTCGTCCGCGTGAAATAGTGACCTTGGAATCCTTGGATAGCATTTTAAATTATTTAGACTAATTATAAAATATCAAAGAAAAAAGTTTCATCGTTCTAACTTCAAAAATGACGAATTTCCATACAGACTTTCATCCCCTATTTTATTTTACCCACTTAAGCGTAAAGTTTTTACAAACTTTGAATGTCATATTTATTTATATTTAATCAACAGTCTAAAAAATAAGTTTCAAGATTCTACCTTTTAAAACGACGATACTTCCATACAACCTTTCATCTCCTCTTTCAACCCTTTTTTCTCATTAAAAAGCCTATATCGTTTCTCAGGGTCTTAGACTTTGTACAATATTTTATTAAAATCGCTTTAGTAGTGCTGGCTTGAAAGCGCGACAGACAGACAGAGTTACTTTCGAATTTATAATATAACTAAGAATTATTATTTTATATACAATTTGGTGTTGTTTATGGTACAATCTAGACACGTCAGCTGTCTTGCCGTATCATTTGCTAATTACAAATGTCTAGGCGCATTAATAATTTGCAGGTTTTACTTGATAACACTATTTTAATGAAATTTTCAATATATTGCATTGCACAGCGCTATTTGTGTTGGTCGGGCTGTTCAAGTTATGACTGTTAAGAGGACTATTACAAAATGATGCCGCTCAACTTTAGGTTTAATCGTATGGATTTACGCACACATACAGTAATACACGCACACAGACGCAAATAAACGTGTAGCTCAATCGGTGTGGATTTAGTATGAACCATTTTGATCCTTGTAATATTTTAATTAATAATGTAATATGTTTTTACTTAACTGAGTAACATAAACTATTTATTGGATTTTTTTAAATAACGTGATTTATCTTAATTATCAAAGTGCTAATAATGACCATATTTTTTTATTATATTATTCCTAGAGGGTTGAAGTCAGGATGCTGGCCGATTGTATAACTAAAAGCCAAAACCTTAAGTAATATGAGTAACAAATAATTGGGATAAGGACAGGAAGATGAAATTACTATAACATAAATGTACTATTTAATTCTTATTATATATTAATTAAATTTATTTATTAATAAATACAAGATAATTTATTATAAGAGTCGGATGCATTATTGCCATATTCACTTGTTCTAAATATTAAACTTAGGCAAATAATTATTTTACTTATATATAATAGTTGTGTTTTCATGGCTTTATTTCGATTTAAAGTTCCCATCCTTATATGTATATTAGATGTGGCCGCGACTTCGTCAACGTGGTATAATGAAATTGACCAAATAAAGGAAATATATTTAGATTATAACCCAAAAAAGTTTCATTGTTTCACTTAAACAATGATGATACTTTTATACAACCTTTCATCTCAGCTTTCAATCCCTTACAATCCTTTTTCGCACTATAAAGTAGTCTATGACCTTTCTCAGGGTATACTATCTGTGTATATGCATACCTATCTATATAGACTATCTGTGTATATATATGGCAGTGAATTTACAGGGTACAGGGGAATAACACCTCAGGAATAAAACATCATATTCTCAGGAATGGCAATGCATGGAGGGCCGTCAGCTTGTTTGCCATTCTAAGTTGTATAAAAAAACCTTCAACTGCTATCATTGCTGTTCCTGCATCATTGACGTCGCCGCATGATTGGCTGATATTGCAGCTTCTCGTTCTTGGTTGGCCGATTCTTGATTCATGATAAATAATTACATGTTAATATCAAAACTTTTTATAGATTATTACAAGACGCCTCATTGATTATATGGAATGAAATCACCATGAGCTAT